CCCGCCGAGCAGGGAGTCCGATGCGGGGCTCGATCCCAGGACCCTGGGATCGTGACCTGAGCCGAAGGCAGACGCTTAACGACTGAGCCACCCAGGCACCCCTCTTAGATGCAGTTTTAAAGCAAAGCTTTAAATCCATTCCAAAGCAAAATTCAACTGGAACCCTAAAAATATCTATCAACGCTGGCAGGGGCAGATTCCTTTATCCTTCGCCACCCCAAGGTTCGACTCTTGTCCTGCTAACACGCTTCGCAGCCAAAGGTTATTACAGACATACTTGGTCCCTTCCCATTCAGATCCTTAACCCACAGCAACAGGAACCTAGCTGCTTGGCTGGGCATCCTTATCTTCCCTCTGCCCCACCTCACACTGTGATGCTGGGAAGGAAGAGTGTGACGAGAGGACACAGCAAGTGGGGGCTGTGCTGAGGGATCATATGCGGGGAGCACGTGGCTCGCTAGAACTCCAGCAGCCTTGCCCAGAGCCACCCTGATAAACCTGCGACATGAGTAAAATCTGTATTTATTTTGCAAATGTAGCTTCAAATTCCTTAGTACTCCACACCCCCCTTCCTCTCTCCTAGTCCTCCACAGTGCCCCACAGCCTAAGCCCCCTCCTATAGAAATTCTGGAGCCCCCATTCTTGGCACAAGCAGCTGCCCCCATCCTTGCTCTGGGGCATGGCGGGGGGCGGCTCTAGCAGGAAGATGCAGGCTGGTCACTTCAATGCCCCAGGACTTGGAAGGAGACTTGGTTGTTGAGAAGCTGTTCCCTGCCTTCCACTGCCAACTGGCAGAGGGAAGAAGTTGAATTTCTCAGGCCATGTAATGGTAGGTATGCGCTCACCGCTCAAATTTTACTGGGCCGCGACAAATGGCTCAGGCTCCGCCAGAGGGGGAAGGCTCGTGACTTCCCTAACACGGTAAGGGAAGAGCTCCAGTAGTCATCACCTTTTTAACAGGGCTATGAACTCCCAGGGCCTTGCCTGAAGTAATGCTGCCAGAACAGTCTGCCTCCCACCTCTCGTAATTCCATAGTTGACAAGATTCCCGGATCAGGTACATGAGAAAAGCCCACCACCAGCTGAAACTACCAGATGATGCAGGGAGGGCAAGTTTTACTTTTCCAGGGGCCCCCAGCCTCCCACCAGCTTGCGTGACGTGGAAGCAAAGGTGCCTTTTCTACTGTTTTCCTCCAGAAGCAAACAGTACTTGGATTGGGCATTAAATGCTTTGCTAATGGAGCTATTGCTGATGAATAAAAGTTCAGGGGCAGAGCCACCGCTGAGCTCATTTGGAAGCAGTAAGAAGGCAGGCAGGACCCAGAGTGAGCAGGGGCAGATGCAAGGAACATGGGCAACCACATGGGCTAGATCTACATTGGAAAGCATTTGGAGCAAAGAGCTTAAATGCCTGGGGTCCTCTGAAGATGAAGAAATGTCCTACCTACATGCATTTTATAAGACAGTGAATGATGAAGAACCATGTATTTTAACATAAACAGCAGCTGCACCAAGGGAACTTGAGTCTTAACCAGAACTATTTTTAACATGCAAAGTATATTTATGTGTTACCTGTATAATTAAACATTTTTTAAAAGTCAGAAGAAATAGTCGTAGAGACAGAATCCAGTCAAGCATAAGGCGGATAAGCCCCATTATGATATACTCAATCATATCTGGATTAAGAGCTACCTATTATAGGGGCGCCTGGATGGCTCAGTCAGTCAGTTAAGCATCCGGCTCTTGATCTCAGCTCAGGTCTTGATCTCAGGGTCAAGAGTTCGAGCCCCACACTGGGCTACACACACACACACACACACACACACACACACACACACACAAAGCGGGGTGGCGCCTGAGTGGCTCAGTCGGTACCTGCCTTTGGCTCAGGTCGTGATCCCTGGGTGCTGGGATCGAACCCCACGTTGTGCTCCCTGCTCAGCGGGAAGCCTGCTTCTCCCTCTCCCTCTGCCACTCCCCCTGCTTTGCTTTGCCTGTCACCACAGGATGACATTGTGGGATTGTTTGGTTTCCATACAGCCTAAAAGTTAAACTGTTTTTAGAGTCAAACTGGGTACATGGAAGGAGTACCGGGAAAGTGGGATAAGAATGTATGATGGGAAAAGGGTAAGAAACAAGACGGAGGGGAGAACTGCAGGTGAATATGAAAAGAAAATTCTATACTAAGAAAATCAGAAAAGTTAAATTCTGTTCCAGAGAGCTGCGAGACAGACTCTCCTCATCCACTTGTCTGAACACAGTAGCTCTAACATTTGATACCCGAATTGTCAACGGCTAGTGGTTACCATTCATTTAAAAGTCTACAACAACGCCATGCCATTGAACTTTCTGCAATGTTGGAGATGTCATATTCGGTGCTGCCTAATCTGGCAGCCATGAGCCACATGTGGCTACGGGGCACTCAGGACATGATTAGGACAACCAAAGGAATGAATTTTTAATTTTATTTCATCTTAATTTTTTAAAGATTTTATTTATTCATTTGACAGAGAGAGAGAGAGAGAGCACAAGCAAAGGAAGTGGGAGGCAGAGGGAAAGGGAGAAGCAGACTCCCTGATGAGCAGGGAGCCTGATGCAGGGCTCAATCCCAGGATCCTGGGATCATGACTGAGCCAAAGGCAGACGCTTAACCAACTGAGCCACCCAGGCGCCCCTAATCTTAATTAATTTAAATGTAAGTAATATATGGAACAAGCGACTACTGGATTGGACAGCACAAGGTCTAGGATACAGGCCTGTGGTTAATCTCACTTGTCATCAGGTTAATGTCACTCTGCTAGATCAGAAGCTCCATGAGGATAGCACTGGGCCGATCTTACTCACCTCTCTATCCTGACCTGGAACAGGGCCTGGCACACTCTGCACACTTAATAAACACTGCTGACTGATCAGAATACGACAGAAGCAAATCAAAAAGGAAGCACCTTTTCTAGAAGGATTATGCATCAAAAGATGCTCCTGAACACCCGAGTCCTACTTTAAAACCCACTTCCAAGTTGTATAGCTCACCCAATCTTTCCTCACTTTAATTTCCTTCTCTACTTTACTCACACAAAAGAAAGCAATATTTCTCACCACAGGATGACATATTCAATATTACTTTTTTATCAAAAACATCCCATTATTTCCTGATTTTCCTAAAATGAATCACTTCTAAATCTTCTGTGTTTAGATATGCACCCTTGGGCAAATTACTTAAACCCCCTGGGCGTCCATTTCTAAGTCTGTTGAAGGGATTAGATGGTAAACCAGCTATGAAAGCACCTAATGCACAGCAGGTGAGCTATGTTTGCTATGTTTGCTGAACGAATGACTTATTTCCTCTGCTTCTTGGGACCTCTTCCCATAACAGAATCCATAATTTTCTAATAAGCCAAAAGCAAAGAAGTAAATGGAGCAATGCTTACAATCTTCCCAAAGATGGGCTAGCATTGGTTATCTTCTGAATTAAAGGGAGCTGTCCCGGGGGCCTAGGTGGCTTAGTCAGTTAAACATCTGCCTTCAGCTCATGTCACGATCTCAGGGTCCTGGGATCGAGTCCCACGTCGGGCTCCCTGCTCAGCGGGGAGCCTGCTTCTCCCTCTGCCTCTTCCCTCTGCTTGTGCTCTCCTTCTCTCTCTCTCTCTCTCTCACAAATAAATAAAGTGAGCAGGACCTGATGATTAAAAGCAGATTCAAGGGGCACCTGGGTGGCTCAGTCGGTGAAGCATCTGCCTTCTCCTCAGGTCATGATCCCAGGGTCCTGGGATCGAGTCCCGTATTGGGCTCCTTGCTCAGCAGGGGGCCTGCTTCTCCCTCTCCCTCTGGCCCCGACTTGTGCTATCTCAAATAAATAAATCAATAAATAAAACCTTTAAAAAAAAAAAAAGTAGATTCAAGGGCAAGCTCCTGATTGGGGACTGAAGAAACAAAGGAAAGGGATTTATCACAATCTTAAGAAAATGGGAGAACTCATTCAAAAAGGATATTTCTGATGCCTGATAAACATCAAATGAAAGGAAATGATTCAACTCCGTCTACCTTTGTAGAATTGCAGTACTTTATATTGTCTATAACTGGTTAAAATCTGTCATCTGTTTATCTTTAAAGTATTAACGATCACAAGACCACTCACTCTTCAGCCTCCAAACGGCACATCTGGTAAACCTGATTTCTAGCACCTTCGCCTATTCTAGAGCTTCTTCAACACAAAGATAGCATTTATCAATAGAACTGAGGTAAGTAACAGTTTTAACAGTCTGTATGAAGAATCCATAGGTGTGTGGCAATAAAGTACTCCTTTAAAAAGTAAGCCTCTGTATTTTGTTTCTAGACCCCCCGCCCCGGCAGGGAAGTACATAGTCAAGATCCTAGGGAATAACGTCAACAGGCAAGAGGGAAGGTCATGGGACTCGTGCATACCTCCGCTTCCTGCAGGGTCCCGTGGTTCAGGCACACTGTGTCGGGGCAAGCAATGGGAGACCCACAGCCTTCTCGGATGGCCAGCTGCAAGTATTGTTTCAAGCACTACAAGTTAAGAAGAAAAAAGACAATTACCCACTGCCTTACAGTAGCACAAAGGTCCCATAACCACCATCGCCTCCTCTTCCTTCACTGGCAGTCCTGGGGCTCCTGAACTCGGGAAACCAAAGTTATCACCCGTGTGAACACTAAGAGCCATCACTTGGGAAAGAATGCAAGACAGGTGATTAATTACGTATGACCTCATCCTAAGAATACTGAGTTTATGCAAGGCAACAAGTCAAATTCCTGCATACTCACACATTTTATCCACCACGGATGTGGGACAGAAGAAACCCTCTTTTGCCCTGATGGTAAAAACCTTCTTTGTCTTTTTTCTTTTTATTAACTTATGTGACTTCCCAGTTCCATTTTTACTTAATGGTCCTCTCCCTCAAAGTTTGCCCAAAAGTAGAACCATGTGACTCTCATGCTGAGCTAGCCAAACAGAATCAAAATACAGTTGACCCTTGAACCACACTGGGTTTGAACTACGCGGGTCCACTGACACGCAGGGTTTTTTCAATAAATACAGTACTGTAAGTGTATTTTCTCTTATGACTTTCTTAACATTTTCTATAGCTTACTTTATTGTAAGAATACAGTATATAACACATATACAGAATATGTATTAATCAACTGTTTATGTTATCAGTAAGGCTTCTGGTCAACAGTAGGCTATGAGTAGTTATGTTTGGGGGGAGTCAAGTTATATGTGGATTTTTGACTGCATGGGGGGGCCAGGCAGTGCCCTGAACCCCTGCATTGTTCAAGGGTCAATTGTAAGAGTAAGGCACTGACTGATCTAGGAAAACTCATTTTATTTTATTTTATCTATCTGAGAGAGAGAGAGCGCAAGTGGGGTGGAGGGCACAGAGGGAGAAGCAGACTGCCCGCTGAGCAGGGAGTCGGACATGAGGCTCGATCCCAGGACCCTGGGATCATGACCTCAGCTGAAGGCAGACACTTCACTGACTGAGTCACCCAGGTACCCCCGTCTTTATTCTTTTTCCCTATCTGAAAATAAAACGAATATCACAATGGCATTATTTCAGGAAACTAATCATGTATTTACCTGATTGAAATTACTGTTACAATGTACTACTGAAGTAATGACTAAAGCAAAGCATTTAAACCGGATTTGTATTTCTTCACGTACTTAATAATTCCCTTCTTCAAGGAGTCCGTTTTTTCCCCCTACGCCATTCATCACAGAAAAAATGAGAAAGTAACCCAAATATCCAAAATAGAAGAACATGTAAATAAATGATGCTAAATTCATATGATGACACGCTGAAGAATCATGAAAAATATTTTCAAACGATGTTTAAACACATGGAGAAAATGCTCCTGATTCAGTATGAATTGGAGAATAAAAGGTGTCTGGGAACAGGGGTCCTCTTGCGGAACTCTTCCTATAATTGGCTGCGCTGTAGGTGCTATATTTTACCTCTTATTTTCTTGTTTGAGAGAAGGGTGAACAATTACTTGCTCTAGCAGTTTTGGTGCCAGACACGGTCGCTCGTGCTAAGAAGACTGGGAAGCAGAAGAGAGCCGAATCAAGGAGACACGGGGAAGAATTTCGGTGCACACGCAACACTTGAGAGGAGGGAGCAAAGCTGGCTCTCAAACAGGAGCGTCCCACCCAAGGACAAATGAATAAATGATGCGAAGGCCTGTCCGCCGGCTCTGTTCTGAGGACCTCTCTGCACTCCATCCTTTTTCTGGAGATGCAAATTCCAGGGAGGCTGGAATGGAGGTGTGTATGCTCCACATACACCCCGGCATCAGGATGGCTTTACGCGTCCCGAATGCAACACCTGAGAACGTGAGATGCCGGGGTGACCACCTTGAGCTCCCCGGCTGCCACTTGAAATGTGAGCAGAAAGACTCTAAGAATGTATGGTCTCTAGGCTCAAGGGGAGGGTATGTGGGAAAACAAAGTGAACCGTCGTGCAGCGAGCATCTATCAGAATATCTGGGCATTAGCCACGGTGCCACACTAGCAAGTGATGATGGGAAAGTTACTTAGGCTGTGTCCCAGACCTGCTTCCCCTCACCGAAAAACCAGAAACGATAGTATCTGTTATGGTTACCTCACAGGGTTTAAAACCCACACACATACAAAACACAAACCTGAAATTTTACATATGGGCGCCCTTTGAAAACTTCACAAATTGCAGAATATTTGGTTTTATTTCTACTCTGCTTCACTTGATCTGAGACTTTCTATCAAAAACTTTGTGGGGAAATGTTAATCCTCTGACCTTCTGTGATTATCCTTTCTCCACTCCCTTCGGAGAACCAGTTAAGCCGCTGTGGTCCAGAAGCGTCATAAACAGAACAGATATTTGCAACAGGACAGCATACACACCTCCATTCCAGCCTCCCTTTAGAACTATTTGCATCTTCAGAAAAAGCTTAGAGTCAAATAGAAACCAAAAAGACTATGTGAGTCTTTACAGGCAAAAAAAAAAAGCATTTCAACTTCTTTTGCAAACTTGTAAAGTGGAAATCTAAGCTTTCCCAAGAGTTTATCATAGATGTCCTATTTGGTTTTTTGGTTTTTTTTTAAGATTTTATTTATTTGTCAGCATAAGCAAGGGAAGCAGCAGGCAGAGGGAGAAGCAGGCTTCCCGCTGAGCAGGGAGCCCAACGTGGGACTCAATCCCAGGACTCTGGGATCATGACCTGAGATGGAGGCAGACGCTTAACGGACTGAGCCACCCAGGCGCCCCTGTTCTATTTGTTAATGTAACGTTCTTAGGTGTTGGATCCATGACGTGTAAACCCAGTACCTTCTGAAGCTGCCAACAAGGACTCTCCTGGCCACAATATTACATGACCCGTGATTTTAGGAGAGAAGTTAGAGCTGTATACACGGGCTACAGGGCATAAATATATATATGTGTGTATATATATGTATATATACACATATATACATATATATATGCCCTTTTTTTAATTCTAAGAAACACTGGTTCAGGATAGAGATGTGTCGCACAAGCAACTGAGTATGGGGATAGCATAGCGTGCATTTCTAGTCCGAGGCCAAGAGGAACAACAACCAGCCCTGTTATTGCTTCTTGTTGAATTTTCCAGCACCTTACGTTCGTTCTGTGTCTCGTATCAGCTTTCACTAAGAATTTAATCTCAAGCCCTCCCTCTCTTCCCCAGTACTTCTGGCTGAAGCACAAAAGAAGCAAAAACATTCATAGGAACCCCCCTGCAAACCAAACCTAAGTAAATGGGTAACAATTCTGGAAGAAACAGGCATCTGTTTCATCTGACTATAAATAAAAACAGAAAGAAAGAGGGGGAAAAAAAAAACTGCCATCATGTGTATTATCTTGTTGCCCCACTAGAAATTCAGCTAGAGGGCGCCTGGGTGGCTCAGTCGGTTAAGCGACTGCCTTCGGCTCAGGTCATGATCCTGGAGTCCCGGGATCGAGTCCCGCATCGGGCTCCCTGCTTGGCAGGGAGTCTGCTTCTCCCTCTGACCCTCTTCCCTCTCGTGCTCTCTGTCTCTCATTCTCTCTCTCTCAAATAAATAAATAAAATCTTTAAAAAAAAAAAAAAAAAAGAAATCAGCTAGAAGTACAGGGACGTGGTCTTATTCTCTGATGGATTCCAGAAAAACATGTAGAAGGTACTACAAAACACATGACTGGGTGACTTAATAAGTTCCAAAATCCTCTCCATCCCATGTCCTAAGTACTGATTAGGCCTATTCACCTCTATCAATCTCTTCTGCCCCATCCTTAGACCACTTTCCATTACCTCTTACCTGGGTTTCTGCCTTAGTCCATTCACTAGTCTTCCTGGATCTGTTTTTGCCTCTTTCTAATAATTTTCCACATTGCTGGCAGAAGGAACTTTAATAAAATCTAAATCTGATCCCTTCTGTCATCTGCCTAAAACCCTTCCAAGACTGTAAATACTCTTTATGTCTCCTTTGTAGCACTTATTACAATTAGGACTTAAAAATTAGGTGGATATAGGGGCACCTGAGTGGTTCAGTCAATTAAGCATCTGACTCTTGATTTCAGCTCAGGTCATGATCTCAGGGAACTGGGGATGGAGCGGGACTCATGTTGGGCTCCATGGTGGGTGTGGAGCCTGCTTAAGATTCTCTCTCTCCCTCTGCCCCTCCCCACATCTTAAATGTGCGCGTGCATGTGTGCGTGTGCGTGTGTGCTCTCTCTCTAAAAAATTAGGTGTATATAATTATGTACCCCCCAAAGTCTCTCTCCCCTCAGTCCACCTGTCAACATTACCAGAAATTTCAGCCTTTAGAAGTCTTTGATTAAAACCTTCTCTCTAGAATAATCCTGTCACCATTCACAAATAATTAGGACAGGAGGATAGTCAGATGAGGTTGTAGTTTCCTAGCAGAGGGCAGAGACTTGAAGAAAAGGATAGAAGACAGTTATGTTTCTGTGGACAAGAAACACTGGAAACTATGGGACACTAATGGGAAGGGCAGCCAGGATATTATGATTTGTAATAAGAAATACAAATACATTCTTCCTATTTCTAGCACAGAGCTTCTAAAACCCTTGGAATCTCCTAAGTGGTGGGAGAGAAAAAAAGTGTCTTTTGTTAAGGAGGTGACTTTGGGAATGCCCCTAGGTCACGTGGGGACTGGTTGCCAGGGGTACCAACTCTGTGAGTAGAGAGTTGGAACTTTTAGTCCTATCCATTGACCTCCAGGGAGGGGAGAGAGGCTGGAGATTACATCATTGGCCACCAGTGATTGATTCAATCAGTCATGCCTATGGAATGAAACCTCCATAAAAACCCAAAAGTCTGAGTTCAGAGAGCTTACTGGTTGTTGAACACATGGAGATTTGATAAGAGGGCTATATTTAGGAGGACTTGGAAGATCCATGCTCTTTCCCCACACCTTGCCCCTATGCATGTCTTCCCTCTGGCTGTTCCTGAGTTACAGCATTTTATAATAAACCGATAATCTAGTAAGTAAAATGCTTCTCTGAGTTCTCAGA